GAAGAGCTGGATGTGCAAGTGATGGAGACGAGTAAGAGGGTGCTCGGAGAGGAGCATCCAGACACGCTGACCAGCATGGCCAACCTGGCTTCAACATATTGGAATCAAGGGCGGTGGAGGGAGGCAGAAGAGCTGGATGTGCAAGTGATGGAGACGAGAAAGAGGGTGCTTGGAGAGGAGCATCCAGCCACGCTGACCAGCGTGGCCAACCTGGCTTCAACATATTGGAATCAAGGGCGGTGGAAGGAGGCGGAAGAGCTGGATGTGCAAGTGATGGAGACGAGAAAGAGGGTGCTTGGAGAGGAGCATCCAGACACGCTGACCAGCATGAATAACCTCGCTTTTACATTAAAGTCCCAAAGTCGCGACATGGAGGCCTTTTCCTTGATAGAGGCATGCTTTCAGCTCAGAAAACAGGTTCTTGGGGATGAACATCCTCACACAAAGTCGTCTCTTAGGGCATTGACCCAGTGGCAAGTAAGGAATGTTGAGATAGACCCAGGAGGCGCATCAGCGCGTATAGTATAAAGTAATTTAGGATTGAATAAACTGTTAGTCAAGCTTGATTATGAACGAATCTAACGCCAAAAAGCTGGCAGATACTACGATACGCTCATCAGCTTAGGCTGGAGTCATGCCATGAGCATTTTGAGGCTTAGCGAGTCTTCCATGAGTCATGCGTGAAACATAAATGTCAGCAGCGGACAAAAACAACCGGCGCGATATTCTGCAATTGATCCTTCAAAGTATCAGGATGCCACAGATCGATGCAGAGCCTCGTAATCTTATTACAATTCATTGCCGCGATGAGATGTTCCAATCGGCCGTAGCATGGATCGCGACGTTTTGGGTTTGCGACATCATCTGTGACTTCGAGGTGTAGATTCTCAGTGCCACTTCCTCCAGGTAGTCGTGCACGGTGATCATATAGCATGTAGGTGGTTATTTCCCGTGCATGTAATTTGCGTAACTTTAGAAAGTTAAACTGCAATAGTCTAAGGATATTACCACTAATAGCAAGCGATCGCACCCGTTCGAAAACAGATGATACAGGTTTCCGAATCGCTTCACTGCCAAAAAGTGGAATCCAAGGCGACTGAGAAACGACATCCTGAGGTCGAGCTCGGTGAGCTGGAGAGACGAGTGAGAATCAGACCTGCTACTGCAGATAAAACATCGTCATTAGTCTTCTGCCGCCACAGGCTATAGGCAAGCCCTAGCTTATGCAATGCTTGAATTGACTTCGCCTCTACGTCCGGGTCAAGAGCCGTGTTAGATCTACACAAAACGCTGACCTGCAATCGCTTTACTGTTGCAGCAAGCTCCAAGCGCTGGAATAACGTACGCAAGAAGAGAGGTGTATCCTCAGGCTCAAGTCTCACGTCGCTATAAAGAGCGTCTGAGGCGATACGTCGTAGCGTCCTGGACGTGGAGCGCAATGCACGCAGTGAATCGTGAGCATCTCCCTAAGAAGCGATACACGAAACGACTTGTAACGGTAACTCCTCTGGTATGGTAAGCATGTCAGTGGATTGAAACCTTTATGCAGGATTTCGCATAAAATGTTCAACGGCGACGCCTGTTCTATTCATAGCAACAATTCCGCTAGCTTGGCATTGTCGACCTCTATCAGTGATGGCTCTGGGTGAGTGGCCTTACTCTACCCAAGGACTGTGGTGCCGATTTTAGTGTGAACGTAAAATGTGGGGTAAATCTTACCCTAGGAGCGGGAGCGAGCCGATAAGGCTCCGTGATTGCAGGTTCGCATTTGCAAAGTCTGTTCGATGTATCTTAGTCTTACCTCTCTTAGATTAGCTCTTTCCTGCCCTAAGACCACTGCAAGTGTTCTGTGTTCCATCCATCATACTTTGCGTTGTGTAACTCCTTCATGTTTCGTTATGTCTTTCGTAGCTCGTTGTCAATTACGGCCGTTGAACCGTACTTGCGATGCAACCAAGCAAACAACTGCATATTCGCTTAGTTGCACCCGTTCGAGGCTGAGCCAATGCATGTATCCAGTAACGCTGCCACTGCAGTTGCCACTGCCGCTGCCCTGAAGCCTTCCAACCATCAGTACACTGTTCCATCGTTTGTTTGAATCGCGCACTACAGTCGTTTGTCGCTTCTACCAACTATCATGACCTTGAAAACCCGCTTCAAAACCATGTTCGGCAAGAAGGAGCCGCCAACATCCTCGGATGTTGAAGCCCCGCCTTCTTCCACCCCACACGCACAGACCGTTCCTGGCCCTGCCACGTCTCCCCCAAGGCTATCAGCACACCTCTGGAATCAAGCATACGACCAAGGGAAACAAAGTGATCCGAACACTGTTGATACTTACGAAAAGATCTTGACCGTCCAGCTGAGCGAAGAAGATGCAACCGCTTCAACCACCCCAAACTCGACAAACCTTGCGTCGCAGCAGAACCAGATTGCACAAGACGCAGGGGAACGGTGGATGCAAATGCAGCGGCTTGTTCAGAATGGGCTTCGTAGAACAGAGAAAGATGCGAAGGTGAAACAGGGTATGGAAGACGGCATACAGGCTGCCATGGCGGTGAAAGAGGTGGCGGACAAAGCGATCCAGGCGTCCCCCGAAGCGGCTATCGCCTGGGTCGGTGTCTGCTTTGCGCTCGAGGTTCGTGCTACTGTGACTGCGTCGACCGCCTGATACTGACGTGCATGGTCAAGATTTTGATGAACCCACTCACCCAGGCGAGCTCCAACCGGCGAGGCATCGCCTACGTTGTATCGAGGATGGAATGGTACTGGAATCTTGCGGAGCTGTTGTTGGAGGAGAACATGACTGACGGACATTCGCCCGGCCTGCGCGGTGATCTCGAGAAGGGCGTCACCCAGCTTTATGCAAAGCTGCTACTGTACCAGATGAAGAGCGTGTGCTACTACCACCGTGGACGGGTTTCGGTGTTCGCACGAGACCTTATTAAGCTGGATGACTGGGATGGCGAGCTGGGCGACATACAAGCAGCTGAGGCGGCGGTGCAGACCGACTCGACGCAGTACAATACGCTCGCAATCCGGGATCGACTCGGTGCGATTGCTGAGACAGCCAAGTCTCAGATTGCTAAGCTAGATAGCATTACCTCGGCCATTCGAGAGCAGACTAAACAGCAGGAGAGGATACATGAGACAAGCGCTGACAACAAGTGTCTGGCGGACCTGCGCCTTACTGACCCCCGCGACGATAAGAAGCGTATCGAGGAGACCAAAGGTGGACTGCTGAAGAACTCGTACCGCTGGGTTCTCGACAACCTGGACTTCCGACAGTGGCGAGATGAGCCGCAGAGCCAACTATTGTGGGTCAAAGCCGACCCCGGCAAGGGCAAGAC